AGCTGGGGTTGTTGTTTTTTTACCGTTCCCATTTTTTTTCAGCGTGCATGTATCTCGGAAAGATCAAGCGCGTCAGTGGGTTATGTTCAGAGTTAAGCACAGCTTTGTTGAATTTAATGTGGGGGGGCAGTTAAATAATTGGAGTGAGAAGAGACTTGGATGGAGAGGGAGCATGGTTTGATCAAGCCTAGAAATGAAGCCAAGAAATGGGTCCGGAGCAAGCTCATGAGGCCTGCTTTCTACCTCTCACTGACCTTCGATAGTTGGGTAGTTATTAATGTGACTAGCCTGCTCTACCTAGGATCTAAAGGCTCATCTGCTTTGGGATCCGGGTTCAAATACTTGTTCTCTAATTAGAAATATATCGGCGCCGGTAGATGTGGTGCTCTCAAAAGTTAGAGGGGAGGGGTGACTAATTTTTAAGGTGCTGCTCCTTAAACAGAAGTGACGCTAAAACAATCTCTAGCTCCTGGAAGAGTGGCCCTGTCAAGTTACTGAAATGATGGAACAGTAGTTGGGTTATTAGAAGGAAAATTGGCACAAATTGAGAGCGAGGATGCTCTGGCAGCATCCACAAGCAGCCAGCCACTCACTGGCTTCATCTGTGCCCTCCGGCTGCTCTCCGCAATATAGATGACACCTTGTCAGTGATTAAGATGACGTGATGGGTCACCTGCGAGTCCAGTGGGCTAAATTGGCCGTAGAGGGGGGACACGCTGCAGTGCAGAGGCAGCTGCCCACATAACCTCATTTTTTTTTATGTATCATCGGGGTACTGACAGCAATTGTCATGGGACTCCGCTCTCATTAGTGTCCCCTAGACAAGGCTTTCTTTGTGCTTGTGCCTTCAAGAAATCGTAGAGGCCTTAAGCTTTTGAGACGATAGGCTTGTTTTCTCTTGGAAGGAAAGTTTTGTGTGGTTTTTCTTGTGCTTTATTTCCTGAGTAACAGGGCTGGGCGGGGGGAGGATGGGGGAGGAGGAGTTGAGCCACTTCCGCTGAGTGCTGTATCCTGCGCACCGGCAAAACCAAGCAACAAAAGGGCCTATTAGCATTGCTGGCGAATGGGTCTTATCTGAATACAGAATGTTTTCCCAGCAAGTGAAAGTAAAGATTGGGGCTTCCCAGAGGTCTTCCTAAATTGAGGGGTTTTACTAGCAGATCACAACATTCATTCACCTGATTCAGAAATCGGATTGCTGGGGGGGTTTTTCCCTTCCCTAAAACAGGCTGTGCAATAGCTGAACGTTAATGCAGTTGTTTTCGTGGGGCTGTGATTCTCAATGCATCCTTGGAGTATACTTTAGTGATTGGTTTAATAAAAGAGTTGAGTTCTCCTCCTGCCCTCTGTTGTTTTCTTCAGTTTATTTGTCTTCAGTTGTTTGTGGGGGGGG